GGAAAATGGGTCTAAAAGGGGGTTTGAAAATGCGACGATTTGACCCAAAATTATAGTTTAAAAAGGGTTTTTGAAAAAATGGGAGTCGCCACTTGGTAATGAGTTAAGGTGTACCAAGTCACCTAAAAATGAATTTTTTAGGAAAAGTTATAAGAAACCCCTTTTAAACGACTCCTAGTCCACGTAAACCAATGAAAAAGGTTCGGGTCACATTTGACGAAGGGGAAGGCAAGGATAAAAATCCAAGGCACCCCTTCGACCTAGCCAAGGCTAGTTGCATGATTTAATCAAAGATTTTCTTGTTTTAACCAAAGAATTTATTACATTTGGATGCACTACGTGAATGCAAGCCCTAGACCTAGGGGTATTGGGGGAAATTTCCCTTCAAAGGTTGAGTGGTGCCAATCACATTAATTGTGAAGTCCAATAACGATCCTTTGAAGAAGTCACGAATAATGCGAGTGAGATGCAAATGAATGGAATGCATGTATGCAATGTGAGGATATGTGAAGTGAGAAAGATAATAAAAATAATAGGATGTAAGTGGAGGTGTGCAAATGTATTTACAAGTGTTTGTGTGCAAGTGAAGGGATAAAAAGGTGTACGTGTGCAAATGGGAGGAAAAGTGTTCGTGTGCAAGTGAAGGGATAAAAAGGTGCATGTGTGCAAATGAGACAAAAGTGAAAGTGTGCAAGTGAAGGGATAAAAGGTGTACGTGTGCAAATGGGAGGAAAAGTGAAAGTGTGATGATAGAGTGGATTTAGAATGCATGAGCCTAGGGAATGCATGCATATTGGGTACGGGGAGACCTAAATCGTGACTCAATTTGCCCTTTTATAGAGGGAATACAAGCGTGTTAAGGCTTAAAAAAAAGCCACACTCGTCTATATCTCATATTTAAGGGGACTCTCAAGCAAATGAACCCTATAACTAGCATGAAATGCAAAAATTCTAAAATGGAGGGAAATGGGGTTCGAGGGGGCATGCAAAATGATAAAACTAAAAGAATGCATGACATGTAATGAACACGCAAATATGTACTACGAGGGGAAATCCCTAAGGGTCTAGCGTTGGACTAGCCCATTCTATGAATTCCGACTAGCGTTGGACTAGTGGAAACGTGCATTCATCCATCACATTCATTCAGGCTATGGAAAGCGAGTAGACATGCCAAACACTTATAAACACATAGCACATAACATTTAGCATGCTCGACTAGATGCAAGGGCCTAACAAAGCAAATTAACACGTAGCAACTAAGCATGCAAGACACATAAGACAATTAAAGCCCTAACTATTACATTTGCTAGCTAGGCACATGTCTTCAACGGGTCTTCATCGAATGCTCCTCCAAGCCCTATCTATTACAAGCCAAGAGGTGTACACATACCCCATAAAGAATTACTTAAATAAAAAGCAAAAGCAAATGAAGTAAATGAAAGGAATTAAAGAAAAACAAAGAAAGCAAGTAGACATGCAAGTTTCACTTAGCACGTTGGATCACATAGGAGAGACACAAAAAGGGATAAAAGAAATTATACCGCCCCCCTTTGAATGGTGTCCAAATGAAAGAGAAATGGCTTCAAAACAATAAAAAGGTCAAGGTACCTCAAATAGTAAAGTATAACAAAGTCATCAAATCTCTCCTAATTGCAATTTAAATGAAATCAAATAATACATAGTTTTCAATAAAGGGATCCACCAAAGACTCAAATGCAAGCATTAATCAACCATTCAAAGTCAATTGAAACATTTTAGAAATTTTGAAAGTCCAAAAGCAAGAAAAAGGCCAAAGCCAATTTATTTCAGAAAAATTTAAGAAGATAGGCGAACACAAGCTCATTTGGACACGAAGTTCTTAAACTCTTGCATTAAGTACCGCCTATACAAAACATGGTAACCAATGAAGACAAACAAGCAAAATGAATTGAAACATTAATGCGGCCAAAGGCTCCATTGTGAACGCTAATCAAACATTCAAGCCAAATCAAGCACTTTAAGGAACTTCAAAGGGTCCAGGGGCAAAGAAAGGTCCATGAGTGGTTTCACTTGCATTTTAGGATCCCAAAAGCAGCCATTAATCAAACAAACAAAGCCCATTGAAACGTTAAAAAGCTTCAAAGGTCCCAAAAGATAATAAAAAGTCAAATAACGGCTCAACTTGCATCCACCTTAGGACCTAATTGCAAGAAAATGGAATGTAATTGGGTCATAATGCACTGCTGCAAAAGTCACAGGGACCCAATTGATTGATATTCCAACTATTTGGGCCATAGTGAGTCAAAGGGGACTTGAGGGGTTGGAATGCAATTTCTGAAAGATTGTTTCATGCAATCTTCATGCAAATGACGTGAAAAACAACATGAGAAACAACATTCTGCAGCAGTAATTTCGGCTGAAAGCTTTCACAGCAAATGCAAACTTCCCTTAACAATTTCAACCGAACCAAAAACTGGAATCAAAGCAACAAGATAACAAAGCTTTCTTCCCACTTTTTATCTTAGAATCTTGATGTTTATACTCCAGAAAATTCAACCGAAGGTAAAGGACAAAGTTCTGCAATTTCTTTCGGCAAGCTCTGCTGCATTTTCGTTTGTTCATGACCAGATTTTGAGCACAACTTTGATTTGATAGTTTTCAAACCAACATCACAACCTTAAGCTAAACAACAGACTACATAACTTCAAACTCTAAACAAACAAGAAACAGTAAAGGAACTGATGCAAGGAAAATCTGGACAAAACATTCATGCAAAAATGGTTAGGTGACCTGATTGTCTATGTTTCCAGCAAGCATTCAAACATGATTTAAGCATTTCAGCCCCCAAACATGCAACTGAACTCTACTTCAAAACATGACTCTACCTCATGGCATGCATGCACACGGTATTCTAATCACATGGCAAATAAATCACACACTTCAACAATGCAAAACTTCAGCCAACCGAAAGTGCAAGCCTATGAACACTTAGATACCCCAATGAAACCTGTAGATGCATCAATTAATCTACACACAAACAGCCCCAACGACTTGGACAACAAAATATAGCCCTAATGACTTGAATTGTGGGATCCAGAAACCAAAACAAGCAAGATATCAAGACTCTTAGACTCCTTCAAATTTCTGGTTTCTTTCTACAATTTTTCTGCTGCAACCTTGCGGCTTATCTTTACACAAACAATATTATGCAAAAGAATGAAGTAAACCCAGCAACTAAACCAAAACTACACTTTTTGTTTGCAAGATTAAGTCAGAAAAATCTGGGTTGATGACTATCCGAGATTAAAGAAATATCAGCCAAAGAAAGGAATAAAGCGCTGCAATTTTTTTCAGTCAGCCCAGACTTGGATAGTTTTCATTCTTACTGGTTTCTACAATCTTAAACCATTACAACCAAGGCAACTCAAATTCTCTTAAACCCAAACATCAAATGCATTAACCTCAATCCATTAAACTTCAAAACACAACACAAAAATGCAGGAGACAAGCCATTGAAGGTTATGCGGAGAACAGAAATGGAAGAAACGTGCAATCAGCCAAGAACTAAAACAGTCAAAATTTAACACACTTCAACCAAACCCCTAAACCATCAACTGTCAAACAAGCCTACAGCTTCGATGAAATCCAACCATCGAAAGCCTTTTTCTTAGCATCAGTGAACATGCGAACGGAAAGGAACAGAAAGAGCAAGAATAATCCGCAAAACGAATCAAAACCTCAGAGCTACAATCTAACAATGAATGAAAATGAAAAGAAACGAGACATTTAAGCTAGGAGAGTACCTGACCAAGCTTTTTCGATCAAAATCTGGACAGACAAACGCCGTGAATGAACTGCTGCAGTCGCCCTTTTTTGCCGCAACTCTCTTCATTTCGGATTCTCACTCGGCCAGTCCTCCATGAAACTTAGCCCGTAGCAACCTTGAAGTTTTTTCTTCTTTTTCTCCCAAAACCTAAACGCTGCCCTTCACTCCCTAGCCGTATCCCCCTAAAAGTCTCTCCCTCTTCTCTTCTCACGGTCTTCCTCTGCTTAGCACTCCCCCTCTCTGGTTTCTCTTCCTTCTCTTTCTGGTTTTTCTTTCAATTTCAGCCCTCAGCTTTCTTCTTCACGGTGGTTCCTCCCCCCTCACTCTCTAACTCTCAGCCGCCGTTTTTCTTTTTTTAGCCAAAAACCTCCTCTATACTCTCTACTCCGTTGCTGTTTTCTTTTCCTTTCTTTTCCAGATTTGCGGCCCCCTCCTCTCTATCCGTAGCTTTCTATTTATACTGCAGCCCCACCTTAAACCCTCAAGCATCTCTTCCATATTTGCAGCTAAGGAGCCGCCCCAGGTTTCTTTGCAAACGGCGCAAGTCCGTAGCTTTCATGCTGCGGCAACAATTTTTCCTTTTTTTTATTTTTTAAATAATTTAGCAAAAATGATAATAAAATTAAGTAAAAACCAACAATTTGATTAACATCAGATAAAAATAAATAAATAAACTAGAAATAATAAACAGCAAAGTTGCAATTTTTATCATTTTTCTTTTTTTCCTTTTTTTTCATTTTCAATTTTCATTTTTTTTCATTTTTTCCAAGAAAACATTGAATTTAAATCAAAACAATTAAAACATATTATTTTTTTTTGAATGCTTTTTCTTTTCTTTTCGAGAAATTCTATGCTAAAAACTTAAAAACAATAACAACATAAAAAACTAAAAAAACTAAAAACTAAAAAGTGAATAAAACAAGCACAAACTAAAAAAATAAATAGTAAATGAAAATACACCAAAATTTGGTGTCTACAACTAGAACTTTTGAGATGATCTTGTAAGTTACATTACACAAACTAATAGGTCTAAACTCAGTAATCAGGTTTGGGGAGTCAGTTTTAGGAATAAGGCTAATCAAAGTCTCATTTGTGGATTTTAGCAAATGACCAGAATGAAAAAAACTTTGAACTGCACTAATAACATCACTCTTGATAACATGCCAAAATTTTTGAAAAAAGATAGGGGACATACCATCTGGTCCAGGAGCCTTGTTTGGATGCATGGAATTTACCGCATGACTGATTTCCTGATCAGAGACTGGCCTTGTCAACTTCCTGTTCATGTCAGCAGTTATAGACTGTGGAATCTCCTCCAGAATAGCACTGAAATCAGTTGGGCTATCAGTCGTGAACAATTGCTGAAAGTAATCCACAATTTCCTCCCCTATCTCTCCTTCATTCCTACACCACTCCCCACTTCTCCTTTTCAGCCCATTAATCCTATTCTGCTTCCTCCTACTCATTACACTAGCATGGAAGAAGCTGGTGTTTTTGTCACCCTCCTGGAGCCATTTAACTCTAGCCTTTTGGCTCCAGTATATCTCCTCCCTCTTGTAAGCCTCCACCAGCTTCCTTTTAAGTCCAACAATTTTTGTTCTGTCCTCACTGCACTGCCTATCCCTTACTTCTTTAATTTCCTTTTTGATCTGTTCTATCTGCTTTTTTGAATTCAGATTCAAATTCTTGCTCCAATGAAGCAAATTCATACGAACTTGTTTAATCTTGCTCTGTACTCTATACAGCCTAGACCCCTGGTGCTCCTTCCCCCATGCCTCCCTGATCACCTCCCCAACCCCCTCCTGCATTATCCACCTTTTATCAAAAGCAAATCTCCTCTTCCTAGGAATTTCTACAGGGGTCAGGTCCAGTACCAAGGCACAATGGTCAGAAGCTTCAGTTTCAGCATGGATCACTTTAGCTTTTCCAAAGTTTCCACACCACTGCTTAGTACCCAACACTCTATCAATCCTTTCCTTAATCTCCCCTTCATTGTCCCTGTTATTACACCAGGTCCAAGGCACTCCCTCAAAACCCAAGTCTATAAGGCCAGTCCTATTAATGAAACCAGTGAAGCTTTCAAAGCTGCTAGCAGGCCTGATTCTACCCCCCCACTTCTCCCCATTAGACTTGATGTCATTCAAATCTCCCATTAGAGCCCAGCAATCCCCCCAAATCTGTGTTCTCCTCTCTAGCACCCTCCATTGCTGCTCCCTAATCTTATCATCTGGGCTGGTATAGGCACACACACACCACCAATCTTTGCTACCTCCCTGGATTTCTAGTTCTTTGGCAGCTGAATTTTTCTTGTGCTTAAGTTTTCATGTTAAATTAGTAAATTGGAAGTTTTGGTATGATTGGTTTAAGGTCCAGTTTGGGATTGCGATAACTTATAAAAAAATTACTTCAAATACAAGTGTTTTTAATAAAAATGCTTTTAAATTATCAAAAATTTGACTCCTTAAATTACGGCAATTAGTTACCAAATACCATAAAAATACTTTTTAATGCTTACGATCGATCACTTTTTTTTTATATAAACCCACTGCAGCTTCAAACCGAGGTAAATCTTGACTGCGTATGCTGATTTATGAGATGAGGCCTAGTAGACTAGACAATAGATACTCATTTATACACTCAAATTGTATTTAATTATCACATAAGTACGTATAATCACAATTATTTTACCTGTGCATTTAAATACTTTTTCAAATTTACTACATTTTTCTAAATAAAACAAACGCCGGAGGCCTTCTTAGTACCTCTTAGCCAAATCGTAAAAAATATTAGGATTCTAAATTCAGAATCGATTCCTATTAAAACTTTTTTTTTTTATTAATAGAGAAATCTCTCTACGATTTGCAAGGTTTTAAATTCGCAATTAAGTAGGCCAACTTTTGAAACATGTGTAAATTAAATATGTCATTATTGTATATCGTTTACACTCCTAATCTCAATTACAGCTACCCTAACCGGCCAATTGGTTTATTCTATTTCTAGGCTGACATGTCACACGTGGCGGTATTGTTTGTATATATATCTCTCTCATTATCATCTTAAAAGTTGGAAATAGAAACAGAGATACGGCTCTGATATTCCATATTAATTGCAATTTGATACCTTAAAGTTTATATGATATACATAATCAATTTTATAAACCAAGCCTAAGGGTACGTGGGTCCATTTTGTGTTTGTCATCATCAATTGCACAATTTTCTCTTGTTGCATAATTGCACCTCGACATAATGCTGAAATTTCTTTTCATCGAAGTTACTCTCACTAAATTTTGTTTTGGAAGACTCAATTATTTCCCTTATACATTGAGTAGGTCTACCTGGTTCCATTCATAAAAGCCATCCATCATAATGAGCATACTTAGCAAAACCAATTGCTAAATAAGTCTTCCTAATTATTTCTTCAAATATTGCTCATGAAGATGTTCTTTCACCTTTACCTTGTGGTTGATCTCGAGGATCAGCTGGAAATATGGAGTTGCCTAGAGAATGCCTTGGCTCTTCCTTCCAATTCTCTCCATCTCTCCATCTCTATTTTGTGGTCAAAGTTTTGGCTGCTCATGTACTAAACTAACAGTTTGATTTTAGCCAACCATATTTCCATTGCAACATATCAAGTTGCACTGCAATCTTTCACAGCCATATATACCTGTATAGTCAGCATATTCGGGTTCTAACACCTTGCATGTTTCAGAAATTCAATTTTTGTCATACTCTAGATAGATCATAAGGGTAGGATCAATCGATCATTATTGAAATTTAGGAGACTTACTTAACACTTTTCCAAACTTAAATCACTAATACAAAGCAAAATTGGCTAGTTTTCAAGCGAGACAAACATCAGACATTACTACTGACACTCCTAGCAAGAAATGGTATGAGGGTAAGAAGTATTGCTCCACAAAATCTTCGATGGTGGGACTGGGGCTACTACACTTATGTTTTTCTTTAACTGCTCAAGATTAATGTAAGCATTTTGTTTACACTTATACCCAGTTGATGTTTCTCAATCAAGAGTTGGTGCAAATCTAAGCTCCGTATATAGAAACCCTGCACGGTCAATTAAGTCCATCACACCAAACCTAATCTTACCTGCCCATCCAATAGTTTACAAACTGCGCGCAGGAATGGCTGTTTAGTGTCCTTTTTGATCTGCTTATTGTGAATGTTACAACTTTTTACGTACAATTACATTATACCATTGTATTGAATACATGTAAAATTTTATTCATCGTACGTCAACTTTTTCATAAACACAACAGGATAATATGATTATACATTAAGCAATGTAGTAATTACAATAATTTCCCATACTTGCCCCAAATTCGTAGCTAACTGATATAGCGAAGAAATTTGCATGGTGTCAAGAGTCCAGCTTCCGGGTCCAGGCTTAAAAACGAAGCATCCTACAAAGGAAGGTGCTGTTCTGCTGCAGTCTCCGCAATATTTCCAAACCATGGCTGGCAACGGCATTCGTAGATACCACAAAACGTTTGGACAAAAAGCAGCAGCACCACAAACACAGGCCAAATTCACTTTACAAAATTCACCAAAGCAAGAGCCCATTTCTTTATCCAGTTACGGGCCTTGATTACTGGGTGATTATCGTAATCTTGATTCATATATTTGCCAAAAACATCGATGAATTCGGACTTCTTACCTAGCTTTTCCGTGGATATCTTCATTGACTTGAATAGCTTGACTACATCTTCATCTTTCAATCGCATTTCTATGACCTTGGCATCTTTCAGCATTTGCACATCTTTAACATTTCTTATAACAGTGCATATGATCTCTAACGTCTGATGATGGCCCTCATAAACTCCACATAAGATGCTTCAAATGCGACCAAATTTCTCAATATGACTTCTGGAAACGAATCCAGTGGCATGATTGGGAGGCAAATTTTTTTGTTAGTTTTGTCAAAATCAATGTTACCAAAACCACATCCGACCGGAAGGGCTTGAATGGTTATGTTTGGAATATCGTAAGTTCTGAAACAGAATTAACTTCATCGAACGCAGTTTCCAGCTTCTTATGATTAGTGAAGCTCATAGCCTTCATAACACTTTGTACACTCTTGTCCAACCATTCTGGCACATTGAGACCTCCAGCTTTTGTAGCTGCGATTGCGGAGAGTATTTCCCCGATTGCCTGGATGAAAAACTCTCTGGCTTGCTTCCAAGCATAAACCAAAGATTCCCCTGTCTGCTGCAATATGTCAGATCCTGTGGATTCAGGGCTTATTTTCCCGATCAATCCTGGGTGTTTATTACCATATTGTGACATTGCAGCAAGCTTCCTGCCCACAACCAAACTATACATAAAATGCAGCAAACGTTGTGGAGGACCACAAATCTTTCTCATAAGTTCCCTGTCGTCATTGGACAATTTCACTAACGAAAGTCTGCTGATGGAATTATAAACCATGTCGAATAGAATGTCCACCACCTTAAAGAACCCCTTATCAGGATTGCGATGCTGTATCACTTGTAGCGTCATAGGTATTGGGATTTGGTTTTCCAGCATCATTAAATCAAGTATCATCAAACTGAATTCCTCATGTACCTTCCTTCGACGTTTATTGTGGCTCTCCAGATCTTGGAGGAGCAGAAGCAAGCATATAGAGTCAACAATCACAATCAGCATCAAGGTCTTCTTGTCGAAATCATGGTATTTTTGACCCATCAAAGTGAGTTTTGATTTTGTAAACCCATTTACAGCCAATAAAAGTTTTGCAAGAAGACAAATGGACCAAATCCCAAGTATGAATTTGAAGCAAAGTATCTAACTTTTCTTGCATAACTTTCTGCCACAATGAATTAGAGGAAGCTTCACGCTCAGGTAAAGCATCTAAAGGAGAAAAATAATGATAATCACGAAGATAAGCTGGTTCAGTTCTTACCTGAGAGAGCTACCGAGAGGAAGAAGGAGGTGATGGATCCATTGAAGAAGGCAACTCATCAGAAGGCTTAGAGGACTGTTATAGAGCTAAAGAAATGCATTCATTGGAAGGACACACTCAAGAAATATGTCAATAGAAGGATTGGTGAAATGTGATGGTAGGAAAGAAGAAGGTAAAGAAGTTTGAGGGATAGCAGAGAAAAATTTAAGTTCCGAGAAAATGACAATATCAGAAACTTGCAACTTACAAGAAATGGGATCATAATATCTGTGGTCTTTATGAGCGATTTGACACAGTTCGACGAACCCTTGGTTCTTCAATCCATCAATTAATCTGTATCAATAGGGCTGCCTAAAAGGTTAATTAGATTGAATAATTGGGTAGTTGTAGTGTTTTTAGTAGTATTTTTATTAATCTTCTTATTAATTTTATGAATAAGTTTGTAATTGTGTGGAGAAAGAAGAAAGGTTGTGATGGGAGCTGATTCAAGTCGAGTCGGGCACCCGACATAGGACCCGTCATATGGTCCATCATGTTCTGGTTCCTATTGAACTTGCAGAGCCACTAAGATAGGTAGTGATCATCGAGCTTGACATAAAGCCAAACATTGCCAGACATCCTTCCAGCCAAATAACGTAGTTTTGTTTGTTTAGGTTTTATGTGTGTTTTGTTTCCTTTTTAGAGTAGGACTCATTGTAACATATACATAGGCGTAGTTAGGGCTTTTGTAAGACAATTAGACTTTTCTTCAAAATAAATATATCATTGGCTAGTGTTTACCAATTGTGAGAGTTTCTCTCATTTTTCATGAATCTGTGATTCATGACTGGGTTTCGTTCGAGTAACAATTCTTATTGGGAGGGTGTTCGTGAAACCTCTTCGATTCCTATGCTTCCACTACCTCATCAAGTGGTATCAGAGTAGCTTCTCCTGCGATGTCTGTTGATGTACTTCATTCTGACCTTGATCGCTTGGGCGCTAGACTAAATCATGTGAAACGTCTTCTTCATGATCTATACATATGGCTTGAAGCGAAAGGTTACTTTGAGAGACCTGTTCGTCATAGGTGTACAAGCAGGAGATTCACTCCTGATAACATCAATGTTCGTGCAGTCTCTCCAAGATCTCATAGTTATCAGATCTATGAGAATCGAGATTGGATCACTAAACAGCAGCATCAATATCCACCGTTGTAGTAAAATCTGAACCCAAAATGTCGGAGCCCAAGTTCGAGAAGAAAGAGATCGAAGAGTTCATATGTGGGCCAGAAGGTGAAGAGGCTGAAGTAGAGTTTTTTCATCTTCCCCTATCGATGAATCCCAAGCAGACCTCAATTCTATAATCATGAAACCTGAGGGATTGGATGAGTTCTAGGATTTGGAGATCGACGAATTGTTAGTGGATTACTTCCCGGCAATTCCGTTGGCAAATCCATTCTCAATGAATTCGTTGCCTGATGACTCAATTGAGACAATTGGTGAGAAAGTTGTTTTTGAAAAGTCTTTATCTATTAATAATTTTAGCGTCAAGATTAGGCAAGTGGAGTACTATTATGTCATCCAAGAAAATCTCATCAAATTTGTGCTAAGAAAGGGAGATGGTAGGATTGTTGGATTCAAGATCTTCTCAAGATTTTCTAGCATTGATGGCCAAGTGCAAACTTTCGTGATGTTATTTCGGCCCTACAAGACTCGGGGGAGGATCGTTGGCTTGTTATCCCCTGCGTGTGTTGAAATTCCCTGTAGAACTCAACGATGAGTTTTTGTTAAATGGAGAAGTCTGATACAGTTCAAGGAATCCTGGTTCTTCAATCCATCAATCCATATCAATAGGGTTATCTAAAAGGTTAATTAGATTGAATAATTGGGTAGTTGTAGCATTTTTATTAGTAATTTTAGTAGTATTTTGATCAATCTTCTTATTGATTTTATGAATAAGGGTTGTAATTGTTAGGAGGAAAAAGAAAGGCTGTGATGAAAGCTGATTCAAGTTGAGTCAGGCACCCGACATAAGACCCGTCGTATGGCCCATCATGTTCTGTTCCTAAAGGATTAAGCAGGTTTTTTGACCAATTGATATATTATATTATAGTATGATATGAGTCACATGGGTCAGTTGCTCTCTTCTTCATTTCGTAGAATCCATAATCAATGACTTGGAGCTAAGCCACACGCTAACCAACCACTGGCCTTAATTGTTTGTATATTAATTACTAATTTATTGTTTATGTCCTGTCTGTGTGATTTGGAGAAGTGCTGATGTACATCAGGGGGGGAGCCACATTGAACCCCTCAATTTTTAAAAGCCTATAGAATAACTTAGACAAAGTTTAGAGTGTGTATAATTGCCCTACTTTTGCCCTCCATAAATTTTTGAAATATTCTATCTAATTCCACCATTGCCTCATGTAACTATTAATTTTTTTTTTTTTTATAGTTACCCTCTCTATTTCTAGGATAGAAATAGATAGAGTTGGTGAGCCTTCTATCTACTCAAGTAGTTTCTTGTGATGATTCCATTAGGTACTTGATTGCGATGAATGGCAAAATAGATTCTTCGCCAAAATAGAACTTGAATTCTTATGAAGCCATCTTTATGTGAGAAAATTATTGGATGCAATAAAAGAAAAAGGAAGATATTCCAAGAGTTGAAAATCTTACATGCAAAAGCTCGATTGATAGTCATATATAATATGTTGATTTCAATAATGCGTGTTTACTTATTGTTAAACATAATTCTATTCATGTTTTGTTTGTTTTAGTTGTCGTGTGTGACTTGTAATAAAAACAACTTAATATTAAGACAACTTTCTTACGTGGTGAATTTAAAGAACAAATTTATATGAAATAGTCTCAAGGATCTGAAATTAAAGAAAACAAAAGGACCATGTTAATTTGCTTGTTGAATACCCTATAATGAATTCATGATATGGCGCTTTACCTTTTTATTAGTCTCATGTTTCTTTTACTGCTCTTTTCTGGAGGAAATGAGTATTGGAAGGGATTAGTGATTTATTGCAGACTAGCATACTACTAAATGTTTCCTGAGACTTGCCTCAAGTCTTGAGGTGTCAATAGTTCAGTACTTCAGCATTAGGAGACAGGACCCTCTGATGCTTGAACCCGTGAACCATTTCAGCTGTACATGGCTTTGGGGCACTTTTTATAGCTTTACAGGTTATTGATGATGGAAACTATTGTTTGCTATTGGTATTTGGGGCAGGCAATTAAGCAAATATTGTGTATTATCATTTTGTGAAGAGTGCTGTGAAATTCTGCAATTCTGGAAGTGGGACTTGACAGCACGTTTGAGCCTACTTGACTTGAGTTCAAGTTCTCGAACATGACACCGAGCTCGAGCTAGAGCATCATCTTTACTACTCATTTGACTCCGAGCTTGATCTCGACTTGCACTTTTCTCAAGTGTCATGTTTGAGCGCGAGTATAGTGCTACTCGAGTTCAACTCTAACTCGATGTCACCCCTGCCAATAATTGCATGCAGTTTTTACTCCATACTTATCAGTAGTACACTAATCTCCCTTGAATAGCTTAAAGCCTTAAACTAATTTGTCAAAAAACAAAAAAGCCTTAAATTAATGCTGGACCCGAGCTTAAAGTTTTGGCGGGTCATGTGTTAGATAAACAGCATGAGTTCGGCAACTTGTATTATTTCATCATATTAAGTTCGTCTCTAATGTTTACACTTCTCCCCTAGCAGTCATCAATCACCATATCAGGATTGTAACAAGTTATAATGTTTCACCAATTCGCAATTTTACTCCACTAGATACGCTATTATTGTAGCCTACCGATCATATCAAAACTGAAATTTTAGAGATTAAATTAACACTTTCTTAAACTTAAAGTAAGGAAAATTAAATTAAAAAACTAAGTTGAGACTATTATGAACTATAAGGAACTAGCTAGTTTCCAAAACAGATAAACACAACTACTCACATTATAGGAACAAATAACAACAGGGCACAATTATACTAGCTAGTAATGCATTATTAGCCGATTCCACAAGCAAAATTTAGGTGGTCGTGGACTTAAAAGGCAAGTATGGCTGTGTATTTGTTCGGTTGCATATAGTTGCTAGAAGAATTTTGTCCACTTGTACAGGTTGATGTTTTGACAAGAGAAATGATGCACATGTTAACACACCTACACCCATGCAATCCCACCAAACATAACCGTACCTTCTCCATCCAGCATTTAACTATAATAACGAAGAAATTTGCGTGGTTTCAAGAGTTCAGCTTTGGGTGCCAGGCTTAGAAATGAAGAATCCTGCAAAGGAAGATCTGCAGTCTCCCTGGTAGTCCCGAACCACGGCCCGCGATGACAGTTGTAAATATCACAAAACGTTTGCAGGAAAAGCAGAAGCACCACAAACACAGGCCAAATTCTCTTCACAAAATTCAAGAAAGCGAGAGCCCATTTCTTTATCCAGTTACAGGCCTTCACTATTGGGACGTTGTCATAATCTTCGTTCGTGTACCTGCCGAAAGCATCAATAAAACTGGACTTATTGCCTAGCTTTTCCATGGTTTTTTTTATCGACTTGAATAGCTTGACTACATCTTCATCTTTCAATTGCGTTTCGATGACCTTGGCATCCTTGAGCAGCTGCACATCTTTTTCAGTTTTTATGATAGCACACATCAGACCCATATGCTCTCTGACTTCTGATTGCGGCCCTTGTCTGGCATCCTTATATGCTGCTTCAAACGCCAGCAAATTTCTCAATATGACTTCCGAATTTGCATGCAGAGTCATCATTGGGAGGTATACTACCTTCTTAATTTTGTCAAAAACAATGTTGCCAAAGCCACATCCAACTGGAAGGGCATGAAATGTTATCTTAGGAATATTGTAGAGTTCTGAAACAGAATGAACTTTATCCAAAGCACTGGCCTGCTTCATCTCACTGGAACTCACAGCCTTCCCGATACCTTGTACAGTCTTGTCGAACCATGTTGGCACTCTGAGACCTCCATCTTTATAAGCCGCTGTTAAAGAGTTTATTTCCTCAATTGCCCGGATGAAGAACTCTCCGGCTTGCCCCCCAGCATATACCAGAGAATCCCCTGTTTGCCGCAGTATATTAGATACTGCGGATTCAGCTTCCGCTGCAGAGTTTATTTCCACAGTTGATTGCATCGAGGATGCCAGTGATTGGCTGGTAATAGAGTCCGTTTCCTCGGTTGATCCTGGGACGAATTTACGAGATTCTATTATTACAGCTAACTTCCTGCCCACAGCGAACTTATACATAAAATGCAGCAAATGTTTTGGAGGACCCCAAATCTCTCTCATATAATCCCTGTCATCGTCGGCCAATTTCACTGGAGATAGTTTGCTGACGAATTCGTAGAAAATATCAAACAGACTAGTCAGCAGAGTGAACTCCTCTGCCAGAGTCTCATCCCGTAACACTAGATCAATCAGAGTAATCGGGATTTGATTCTCGAGCATCATCATATCTGAAATCATCAAACTGGGTTCCACCTCCTCCTCCTCCCCTGGCTGTTCCTTATAATTCTCTAGAACATCAAGAGCATGAAGCAAGCATATGGAGTCCACAATCACAATCAGTATTAAGGTTTCCTTGTCGAAATCAAGGTAGCTGCCATAACATGATTGGATTCTCTCTTCAAATGGCCATGGAAGGCTCTTAAGAAGTTCCATGATTCTCTCGAGTTCAACGTTATGGACACTGAGTGCTGCACGCTTTATCCAGAGCATCTTCTCCTGAAGTTCGGGACGGCAGTGATGGAATGGTCCGAGGCCTAAACTCTGGGGAATATAAGCCTCAGGCTTGGTGTCCTTCAAAATTTTGGAAAGTTGAAAAATGCTTGGACCACTTGGTATGGTTTCTAGGGAAGTTTTGTAAGCAAGTATCATGTAGTTTCTCCAGTTATTTTCACTCTCTTTTGAAGCGAAAAATGTACTGGACAACATGTTTGCTGATTGCTATAGGTTTGAGACAAACTCAGTTAGCAGTCTTGTGCTTTTATAATGGTGATGGAACATGGGAGGATTATGGTCCTGCAAGTTTTTGTGAAATCTTTAGTTTAGTTTATGCAGTATCAATGATGGAGCTTCAATTACAATTTCCTAATAAAAAAAAAATATTAGGACTAACATGGTTCAAAATTGGCGGCTTAGGAAACCAAAAATGATTCACACCGGTCTTAATGAATTGTTTCTGCCGTGATTACTAATTTATTGTTTGTATAATGTTATGCTCTATCTTGGTGATTTTGAAATTAATGTGCATGATTAAACTTTTCTAAAAGTTGTTACATTATTTATTTAGGATTATGCTGTCTTCTTCAAGAGATCTGGTTGCCATTCAAGTGGCTGAAATTATACATTTGAAAATCACAAGTGGAACAATCCTTTGTGAAGGCATAAATTTTGTGGTGGGGTTCTTTGGTAGGTGTAACAATCCTCCCATTGTCTGATCCTTGACTTAATTTAATAGCAAACACAAAAAAGATAAAAAGCATAAAGTTGAGACAAATAGTTAGGTCAATCCTAAAATTTTGTCCATGACAAAAAACCAAATTAGGAGTTTAAAACTCTCAACCTGAGGATGCTAATATATCTTAAACAGATGAAAATTTTCATAACTTTGTCTCATCACTCCCTAAACTTTTCTAAAATCTATTGGCTTTTAGATTGTGACTTTTCTTTTAAAAGAAAAAACTCTAAACACATTTTCTGATCATCTGTTTAGTTCACATGAATCATTTTTTACATTTTTTTTTTTTTTTTACAAAAACACCAAAGAGTTGCAATCCAAACTGGAAGCATCAAAAAGTATTCAGAAAAAATACATCAACAAATAGAGAGCCAAACGAAACTAATACTCAACAATACTGTTAATTTATTCTAAAAAGTGGGAATATGTTACACCATTGACTTGAGGGTTGAATTCTGGTCTAAGTCAATGACTTGGAGCTCGCTAAGTCATACGCTAACCAACCAGTGGCCTTAATTGTTTACGTAGTAATTACTAATTTATTGGTTGTGATCTGTCTAGGTGATTTTGAGATCTGCATGATTAATATTTTTTTTTAAAAAAAAAGTTATTTATATTATTTGTTTAGGATAATGCTTTCTTTTTATGGTAAAATACACTAAACCCCCTTGTGGTTTGGGTTATTATCATAAAACCTCCTCATTATTTAAAAACCCCCAAAGTACCCCTCCTAGTTTGGACTAATTTGGGCAATGAACGGAAATCGTTTAATTTGACGGAAAATATGAAATTTCTATATTAACCTTGTTTCAAAACTTATCATCTTCTTCAAATCTCCATTTTTTCCTTTGACAACAGTAGAATAGCTACCAATTACCACAGCCACCATTCAACTGAAAACCCATTCTCCTTCAACTCGGCCTCTGTCACAGTATCCACCTCAATCGAGCCCATGTCCACTGGCTTCACAGCCGATAACAGCCCTCCCAAACCATTATCCGAACCTAGAGTCGCAGCTGCAGCAGAAGCAGAAGCAGAAGCTGAAGTTGCCTCCATTGAGTCTATTTCCAAGTTCCGAATTGCACTAGTCCAGCCCCGGAAATTAGCCCGACCCGATCCAATTGCTAACAGAAACCTTAACTGTTCCGCAAAAGAGCTCAAAAAAAGAAGGGAACGGTTTTGCAAGAAATACTTAAAAAAAAAAAAAAAAGAGGACTTTTTTTTTCCAGTGCTACGTAGAAAGAAAGTACAAATTTAGAACAGAAAAAGTACTCAAAAAGCCTTCCAATGGCAAAGAGAATTTTGGAAGAAAAAGCAGAGAAACTTTCCTGGCTTCCTTTTCTCCCTCTACCCTCTGTACGTTTTTTTTTTTTTTGCTGGGTTTGTGGAAAATGGGTTCTTGTTTCTTGTTCTCTCACCCAGAAAGATTGCAAAATGCCAACAGCGCAAAAGAGTCTTTTGATGCTTTTGCCAGATCCTTTAAACTATCCATTGAAACTTTGAGGCGGTCGCAGTTAGTGGATCTCTATGGCTGAAATCACTTTCCATTCTTTTCATTCCATTCCGTTGAGCTCCCTTGAATCACAATCCATCTGTATTTGTTCCAAACCCGCCACCGCCTTCAATGCCATATTACTCTCTGCTCAGCCCACCAATTGATTACATCCCAAACCCACCTGGTAGAGCCGGAGGAGGAGGATTTGTCCCGCACAGCAGCCCCCGAGTTTACAACTAAATTCATCTGCTACAGTGATTGAAGTGTACAAATCAATCTATCAATAGTAATTTTTGCTGCTTCAATTGCCATGGTCACCACCGTCACCGTCATCTTCAACATCATTGGGTCTTAGATTTCATCTAAATTCATGTAATTTCTACTCCAGATCATTCAGGAGAAAGAAGAAAAAGGAAGAACAAGGAAAAAAAAAAAGAAAAGAAAACGTAAGATTATCACATTACCCTTATGTATTCTTATCACACTCGCTTGTCAAGCGTGTGTAATTCACTTCTCGTCAAATTAGACGATTTCCTTGACGATTTCCGTTCATTGCCCAAATTAATTCAAACTATGAGGGGATACTTTGGGAATTTTTAAATAACGAGAAGGTTTTATGATAATAATCCAAACCACAAGAGCGTTTAGTGTATTTTACCCTTCTTTTTAATAAGATTGGTTCCTATTGAAGTGACGAAGTATACAACTTGAAAATTACAAATGGAGCCATGCTTTTTTGAAGACATCAATCCTTTCTTTTTCCCTGTGGTGGGGTACTTTGGTAGGTGTAACAGTCCCTCCATTGTCTGGCACTTGAGTTAATTTCATTTTACAAAAATAAATAAAAAGCATAAAATTGAGACAAACAGGTACTTCATGACAAAAACCATATTATGAGATTAACACTCTCAAACTGAGTATGTTAATTTATCTTAAATAGAAGAGAATTCTGGAATTTGATTTTTCATAAGTCGACCCTAAACTTTTCTAAAAACAAAGCATCAAAGAGTATGGAAATACATGAACGAAAACAGAGCCAAAGGAATTAATAATCAACAAACACTTTTAATTTATGGGTTAATTTAATTTTATTCTTCAAAGTGGTTCAAAATCTCAATTTGCTCCGTTAAACTGAAAAAATCTCACCACCAAAGTAGCAAAATATGTCAATTTGGTCCCTTAAACTAAAAAATCCCTCGTTTGGGTCTTCCAAAGTAGCAAAAAAGCTCGATTTGATCCTTTAACCAAAAAGTTCTCAACTTGGTCCAAGATGATCAATTAAGCCAATTTTAGTAAAAGCATTAAAAATTGGTTTTGTAATATAATTTAACAGGGAAAAGAAGGAAAATAAACTAGTTTTATTAATTGTTCTACAAGAAATATTGTGAACTTAATTTTCCGATGACGAAGGGCAATCTTAGTTTGTTCCTTAAAATAGTAAACCATGTCAATTTGGTCCGTTAAATTTACTGAGGAAGTCTTATGTCGGTCCTCTAAAGCAGCACAAACTCTCAATTTCATCCCTCAAATTCAAAACGATATCAATTTGGTCCTCCAATTTGAGAATACAGTTCCATATTAATTTTCCAAACCTATTATTATATTGCATATTTAATAAGTACGAAGAAATCAAACTATTAAAGACAGAAACTCATAATGATTATTTAATCATTCTACTAAAGTTTCCCTATTTTAATTATTTCAATGAAAAAAAATCCATTCTTTTGGTAAGATGGACTAGTGCAGTATTTATCCTTTATAAAACATCTAAGGGCCTATTTGGCAAAGGAGTTTTTGGCTAAGTTTGTCTCTTACAAATTTTTTAACAATTTTAATTACAGTAATCTCAAAAAAATTCTCAAAATTTTTAAATTACACCCTTCGAAATATTCAAAACATACAAAAAAATTTTCATTCCTCCTTTCTTCTTCCACCTCAACCCACCACCACCTTCTCCGCCAACCAAGTCCGGCTAGCATCGATTCCAGTGCAGGCCCCTTTCTTTTTCCTTTCTTTCTCTTCTCCCTCTCCTCCTCCCCTCCCTTCCTCTCCCCCCCTCTCCCCCACCACAACTCTCTCCCTCCCTTCCCCACCACCCTATAGATCACGCCGGGGGGAGGGTAGCCGGGAAGGGGGAAAGGGAGGAGAGGGGAGAGGGGAGAGGGAGGGAGAGGAGAGAGGGAGAGAGAAAATTGCAAAAAAAAAATAATTTGTTTCTAGTGCTACTTGTCCGGGAGGAAGAGGAGGAGAGGGGGAGAGAGAAAAAAGCAAAAAAAAAAGGAGGTGGCGGGGGAGGGAGAGAGGAGAGGGAAGCGAAAAGAAGAAGAGAGGAAAGAAAACAAAAAAGAAAAAAAAAGTTTTCCATTTTAAAATTTTTTTCTACAATTTCTACAGTAAATTATAATAAAATTTTAGACAGACATCCAAAAAAATCATTTATAAACGGGACCTAATTTTGCTCCACAAAAGAATCAAAAGTAATCAGCAAAAGATTGCAATTTATCATCCCGCAAAACTTCATATTGAATAACTAAAATAACTTGGTTTATTTTCTTTCTTTTGCAGTTAATATCCTTCTACAAACAACCAATTTTTTGTTGCTTTAATGAAGGGTTAATTTTACAAACCTTTGTGACAATTGCAGGCAATTCTTTTAAATTTTAAAAATTACACCTATTTCTCTGTTTTTCACTGTTTAAGTAACATTTGTAGATCTAAAAGACTAGCTTTTTCTTTAAAATCCTAAACTGCCCTTATTGTTATGATTAAAAAAAGAAAAAGAAAAAACGAGAGAGAGAGAGAAGAATGGCTATCTTTGTCTACTTTATGAATTTTTCCTTGCTTGCTATACCTGCTACAAAACCCATCACCCTATGAAACCAATCAGGCAATCACTCAAACTCAATGCCAAAATATCCAAGCAACTCAACAGTTCCAGCGGTTTCTGTGGTTCCAAAATGCCTCTCTATTACCTACAGG